GCTTATACTAAAGAAAGAAAGTTGATACAAACTATAACTATAACTCTTTATTCATTCTACATTTATTAACTTAAAACTTAATTTAAAGTAGGTAAACCAAAACATAACTTAACTTATCCACGGATATCACAATATATGCTGCTCTGCAGTGTAAAAATAAATATCATATCCGAGAAATAAAATAATTTATGATTTTTGATTAAGTAATACAGTACTTTGAACATAACTGACGCAAACGATCAATAGCTCAAATTAAAGCCTATAATTTACTGATTATTTTGAGTCTTAAACATATAAAAAACATAAAAAATACTGAAGCTATTGATTTTTAATCATAGAAAACCCTTATAAAATATAATTTTCATGTTGATTGTTCACCTTGCGTTTGCTTGAAACTCATGCAATTTGAATAACTTATATAGCTTAAATAAAAGCCGGTATTTCACTGAAAGTTCTTAGACCAAAATATATAGGATTGTATAATTATAACTCGTGAAATACATCTTAAATTGAAGTAAGAATTTGAAAATAAATCAAATTTATGTTTTTTGGTCAAGTAATACAGTAGATAAATATGCCGATACTTGATGTGAAATCTTTGTGTGCATAACTTCAATTTGAGACCTCAATCATGAAAATCGGTCGGGTAGAAGAGCCAAACAAACTCAGAAAAGAAAAGCCAAATTTTACTCCCATAAAAAATACATGGGGAGCGACTTTCGTTTACGTATAAGCTGAGTGGGACTGTAGATATATATATGCCGATGCTTGATGTGAAATCTGTGCGTGCATACCTTCAATTTGAGACCTCAATCATGAAAATCGGTCAGGTAGAAGAGCTAAACAAACTCGGAAACGAAAACCCAATTTTTTTAAATCATATACTAATTCACAAACCAATTCATCACTAGAATAGGGGTTACTAAAAATATTACATAAGGTCTTCCCAAGAACAAGCCTCCAAACACAACTTCAACTGTTAATTTAGTTGGATGGACTCATAGCAAACACGTTTGTTTTATTACTCAAAATGGAACTGTCAATAAACGTCCAAACAAGATGTTAAGGCTATTAGTATACGATTCAGGCTAGTGTTGTCATTTGATTATATTATTTATGATCCAAACCGTTTCTGTTCTTATATCTGTGTAATAATGCTATCAGCTATTTCTTGATTTACTTCATTCAAAAGTCACCAGCTGATCTTATGCCTTTGTTTATGTGTCAAATACTGCTTCCATAAGGATTACATTGAAACTTTGAAAAACTGTGGGGCGGATTCCTAAAAGATTTGTTTAATAGTCGAAAAGATGTTGGCACTCACCGATATGGTATTTATCACCTTGCAAAATTTGAAAACAATTGCTTCAGCCGTCTAGGAGGAGTTTGCGTATTACGAAATGCAAAAGAGTCGCATATAAGAGCTCCGCTCAGTTAAAGGAACTTGTATAAAATATGTGGGTCCTCATTCATACTAAATATGAAGTTTTTATTATATAAAAAATCTTGAAATGAGTGTCATTGCTGACTAGCTGTTACCCACGGGCTTCACCCCGTTTGACTTCATAAGTATTAATAAAACTATTGATTGGTTAAGTTAAGCTGAAATAAACAAAATGGGATACAGTAATACAAACAAATAATCACACCTGATTTTAATCTTATCTTACTAATATTATAAATGTGAAAGTTTGTTTGAAGTACAATCACGCATAAACCACTGGACGGATTTTGCTGAAATTTGGCATGATGATAGCTCACATTCCCGATTAACATATAGGCATATTCTTATCTCAAAAATCTTTTCGGGCTCTGCCCCAGTGGCTCTGTAGTTCCCTATGTTAACCTTATGAGTATTCATATTTAAAGGGAATTAAAGAATTTAGTCAGCTGTTTCAAATAAATTGATTGGTTCTATGATATACAAAAAGCATTAAAAAGTTATAAGATTTGCCAACAGGGTGCAGCACTATATTTTTTTTTGCATTTAGTAAACAGCTTATTTGAACTAAGCAGCAACAAAATACTGTGATACACAATGACAACTGTCAAAGTAGGATTTTTTACAGTAATGTTTATGTCTTTAATGTCATGAATAATTTGTGATTTTTTGTGAATTTGTAATAATTTATTTTTCTTTTTTGTTTAGGTGAAGAGGTAGAACATTATGGCTATGGTAGATGTGTAATACCATTATTATACCGTCAATTTAAAGAAGCAAATTTTATCAAACTTTGTCCTCCCCCATTACAAACGCAAAGCTTGAGTATTAACTGCATTTTTAACTTCTATGCTAACCCTGTACGAAGGACGGGTACTCTGCTAGTAAGGTAATAAATTGAAAGAAACAAACAAATAAGTACAGCTGATGTATTAGCGAATTCTCCCTATAGGGAAGTAGCTATTACCGTAGGTCTCATGGTAAGACCTAAGCCCGGGACCGATTTACTTTTTCATTTTGATGTCCCCAGAGGCCAAAAACACCATTCGTTCAAATTTTTATATATCTATACTATCTGTGTGCCCGTTCTACGCACGGGCCCGCACGGGGATCTTATAGTAGTCAGTTGAAACCTTATTATATAAAGAACAGCAGTTGGTTTGCATATTTTCAGACATGCTGGCAAAACTATTATATATAAACCTAATATTATGACATATAAAGAAAAAGCAAAACATATATATAAAAACTTTGGTGACATTTTGAACCAAACAATCTCATCCAAACAGCTTTTTGTTATTTAGAATATGACGTATTCCCTAAACGATGTTTGGTATATGTAGTTAATATTACTGTAGAAGGAAATGTGAACAAAATCACACAATGTTGTGTTTTTTAAAGTTTTTAATTTGATATCCTAAGTAGGTACCTAGGCCATATATTCTAGGGAAAAGTACCGGTATCAAGGATCGTCATCGAATAGGTTGTTATGAATAATTGGGTAGGCCTATATACCCAAGATACAGTCTTATTGGCCTATTGGCTGTATGGTCCAGCGATTGTAGCACATAGGGGTCAGTAAAAACCGAAAGTGACACATTGGAAAAGCGAGTTTAGCATCATCCATAAACCTCTGTTACAATCACCCACCGCAGTTATGATTTTTCACTTTACGCTTTACACAACCGCCATTGAAACGCCGTCAATTTAATAAACGTAAGTTTCCCAGCCCTATAGATTACTGTTTCAAGGTCTTTTTCCCGGCTATCAAAGCTTCAGAGCAATTTTATACACATAGAATCTCCATTTCATTTTACACATTATTGAACTTGCGATTAATGAAATCCTTTATGTAAGGAAAATAGTTTTTAATCTCACTTGGTTTTGGATTTTGCTTTCAATATGTGATCGGAAATGTTTGCGGTATTTGTAAACAACCTTTAATGTAAACATATCAGTGACAGCTAGAAAAAATCATCTTGATCCGAACAGCTGTTCGTTATTTCATTGATGATTAAGTGATGAACATTGGACATTGGGAGAAAACTTGACAAAAATCGCACGAAATCGGGTTTTTAAACGTCCGTAGTTTTATATACAAAGTAGTGACGCCATATTTTAATGGCTAAAGACAATCTCGCCAATCCAGTGAATACATTAAAATTATTTGGATCTTGATAGGTACTCTAGTTTTTCAGGAGAAGGCCGCGTAAAATGGCTCTTGGGCCGTAACAGACACGAAGACAGACAGAAATGTAGATGAGACTTGTTACGGTTTGTTTAATGTATAAAACGTAAAAATAATCTAAAAGTTTATGATTCTGAGCAATGTACAGACAAAACTCTAATTTTATTTATATAGATATAGATATATATATATATATGTGTGTGTGTGTCCATCCGCACGATAACTTGAGTAATTTTTGTCCGATTTTGATAAAATTTGGTTTGAAGGTGTAAGGCAGGATAACCTTGAATGAGTTCGCGAACCAGCATGATCGGACAATGGGAACGGGGGATTATGGGGGGTTTTATGGGGTAAAAATAGGTTTTTCCTATTTTTGACCCTAAAAACACAAAATTTCACAATTTCTTTTTAATACATTTTGTAGAGCTTAAAAAAACAAATAATTTAGTATATTGAAGCGTTATTATGTGCCTAATTGTTACGGAGAAAATTCAAAAAAATTGTAATTTTAAAATTTTTATGTTATTCTTATGGAGAATAAGTCAACTGGTGTAGTTTGCTTGTTTATGAACATATTTTGATCAAATTTGGAAAATACATTAATTTCTTACTAAACCACAGTACCTTTTAATATTTTACATTAAAAAAAACTTTTACCCTCCCTGTTGCAGCAAACCTAAGTACTCATTAAACTAATTCTGTTTAAATAGGGAATAAATGTGATATTTTTAAGGAGACATTTTAGTTTAAATCTAATCAGGCAGATGGAAATTCGCTAAGTCTGCAGGTTTGCTGCGGCGGGGGTATTTTTAACATCAGGTATTTTATCATATGGAAAGTTCACTTTAGAAAGGAATTACGGCCTTAAAGGGCAATTTATGAAATAATGGATAGTTTTGTGCAAGATTTCTCGTCATGAAGACATTTTAAGTATGTATGGTTTAGGGGTTTGACTTGTAGTTTTCTCAAACTTCATGGGTACTTTGGGATTTATATATGGATAAACATATATGCCTACCGCAGAATAGATTAATTTGATAAATTACACACGAGGAATACCTGCAGTAATGCTATCAGCAAGCTTGCTGGGTTGACCATGCATTCATTCTTATAGTTAAACAATCTAAATATATACAGTATGTATAGGTTTTATAAAAAATACTTGCAAGACGCCCCCCCCCCCACAAATAAAAACACCCCAAATACCCTTTTGGGGGGGGGACACACAGAATTAATTACAAATACTCACTTGATTACCATGCGTTTAAATTGTGTAAAGTAATTTGTATGGATAATTGTTTAAAAAAGAATACAGTTAGGCCTAATATTTTTTTATTTTAATTAATTGATATTTAAAATATTACCTCTTACCTTAGTAATAGTTTCTGACTTCTAAAATAAAACTTTGTGAATTGTCGAAAAGATGCCATAGTTACTTGCTTATTTATCTTATTCCAGGTCCAAATAATCAAACCTGAAATATGACATTCTTTAAATGTCAATATTATTGAGCATTAAATAATATTTATAATTATATTACATTGGCTAAAAACAAGATGTTTTTGAACTAGGTGATTAAAAATTGTATTAAAACAGAAACTTAAACTACAGACATCCTAATGTCACTTGTAGACAGCTTGGGGGAGCAAGCTGGTCTAGTGGTTATAGCGCAGGACTTCGGTCCCTGATAATAATTACAGTAGAACCCCGGTTAACCAAAATAAAGGAGGAGAGCCGTTTCGGATAACCAATTTTTCGGTTAACCCATCATATGCTAAAAATAGCCACTGTATCATCACAGTGTGTAGGAAAAATGAATTTAAGAGAATGTCTATATAATTCAATGTTTTCTTTCAGCTACAAAAACGTTACAATGGGGTGGAAAATACTTTGAACCAGTTAACTGAAGTTATTAAAGCATTTTACAGCCCTATATTATTTTATAGAACCATTTCGGTTAACCCGGATTTCGGTTACTGTTATATAATATGATTCCTATTGTACTGTCAAATATTTCTTCAGCTGTTTTATTTAAGACTGTTTTGTTTATGTATGTAATGTTTACAGTTTTGTGCAATTCTCTCATGTAAAATGTAGCTGATTATTAAGTTGAATAAAACCATATAAATTTGGTTTCTAAACATTTCTTTTTATAACAATTTATTCAACTTAATCTTTTAACTTTATTATTACAAGTTCTATACAAGTTGTATTCTATCTTTTCTATTCAAGTTTATTCCAAGAAATCTAAATGGATAAATTCTTCAAGCCGGAGCACCTATCTTTGGACCCTAATGATCCCCATTCTGATCGTCAGTGGAAACATTGGAAAACAACTTTCAAGAATTTCATGGAAGAGATATGTGCTGCAGAAGATGATCTACTAAAACTTCTAACTAATTTTGTGGACTACAACATATATAAAATAATCTCAGAGGCTGATTCTTATCCTGAAGCTATATCTATTCTTGACAAACTTTTTATAAAGCCTAATAATGAGGTATATTCACGTCATCAACTGGCAACTAGAAGACAGAAACCTGGAGAAAATATTGATCAGTATCTTCGAAAACTCAAAGAACTTAGTAAAACATGCAACTTTAAACCTGTCACTGCTAATGAAAATCGCAACGAGTACATAAGAGACCTTTTCATTCAAGGATTAATATCACAGTCCATTCGACAAAGACTTCTTGAAAATCTAACTTTGACTCTTGAAGAAGCTTATAATCAAGCCATTACCTTGGAATCAGCTGAAAATCAGGCGATTTCATATATTTCAAGCCCTTGTAACTCTATATCTCAGTCAACTCCTAAAAATGTTGATGTTACTGATACAAATGTTTCTCAGGCAGCTTCTGATTCGTCTTCTCACCAATTATCCTCGATAAGAAGAGAAAAATTTTTCTTTTGTGGACGGTCACGACACTCTCGAGCCAACTGTCCTGCCAAAGACTCAGTTTGTAATATTTGTGACAAGAAAGGCCATTGGGCAACAGTTTGCAATTCTCGCAACCAAAGTAGGACATTTAAGGGTAAAACAACTCCAAGTGATAAGACAGAAATAAACTCAATGTCTTCCCCTCTTGTTGCTGCCTCACAAAAACGTCTTTCAAAAGCTACAGTGTCACTGATGTTAAATGGCAAACCAGTAGATGCACTCATTGATACTGGGAGTTCCGACAGTTTTATATCTGAAGCTACTGTGAAAAGATTCAATATTTCTAAATACCCAACAAAGCATAAAATATCGATGGCATCAACAAGCCATGTTTCATCAACTCTTGGCCACTGTATTGTTGACATGGTGTGCGATGGCCACGAATACCCACAGACAAAGCTGCTCGTCTTAACTGATTTATGTGCCGATGTTGTAATTGGACATGACATCCTTCGGCAACATTCTGCTGTGGAGCTGAATTTCGGTGGTAAACGCCCACCCTTCAACGTTTACAATCTACTTAGGGCTAAAGTATCACCACCACCACCACTGTTTGATAATCTAACTAATGACGTCAAGCCTGTAGCCATCAAGTCCCGCCGCTACTCTGTTCATAAAAAGTGAAGTAAGTAGGCTTATATCAGAAGGAATTATTGAACCGAGTAAATCACTTTGGAGAGCCCAAGTGATTGTGGTCAACAATGGGCACAAGAGACGTCTGTGTATTGACTACTCTCAAACCATCAAAAAATTCACACAGCTTGATGCCTACCCTCTACCTCACATTGAATCATTTGTCTCTAAGCTTGCTCAATATAAAGTGTTCAGTACAATCGATCTGAAGGAGGCATATCACCAAATACCTATTCGGAATGAAGATAAACCATTCACTGCATTTGAAGCTAATGGGAGACTTTACCAATACACTCGAATTCCTTTCGGCGTAACTAATGGTGTGGCGTGTTTTCAAAGAACTATTGACCAGATTATAGAAACTGAAAATCTACTAGACTCGTTTGCTTATCTGGACGATGTAACTATTTGTGGTCGTATCCAAGCAGAATTAAAACCTACAGAGATTCATGGAAGCAACTAAAAAGTATAATGTTACCCTGAACAAAGAAAAATCTAAGTTTTCGTTGACCAGGATTCCAGTTCTGGGGTACATTGAAGAAAACATGTCCATGCGTCCTGATCCTGATCGCTTGCAATCACTCTTGAATTTTCCCGTTCCAACTGATAATGCAAGCCTTAAAAGAGCTCTTGGCATGTTGTCCTATTACGCAAAGTGGATCCCTAAATTCTCTGAGAAGGGTCATTGCCTTACTACAGTCAAATCATTCCCAGTAGGCAGTAAAGAAATATTGGCTTTTAAGACATTAAAAGAAGAAATAGCGAACTCCGGACAGTATGTCTGCAGTTAAAGAAAATATTCCATTTACTGTAGAAACAGATGCATCTGAATCAGATATAGCGGCTACCCTTTAAAGAAGAGTACAACCCCCCTACGGTACCCTTGTAAGAGTGAACAACATCTACCTGCTGTGGAAAAAGAGGCCCTCGCAATATTCGATGCAATACAGAAATGGAGGCATTTCCTGATTGGAAGACGGCTCAAATTAATTACCGACCAGATATCTGTGTCATATATGTTCAATCAGAAACACACGGGAAAGGTTAAGAACAACACGCGGGAAACGTAAAGAACAACAGGATTTTAAAGTGGCGATTGGAACTAGCACCTTTCTCTTACGACATAGTGTTCCGTTCTGGCAAGGAAAACGTAGTAGCAGATACATTTTCACGAGTTTCATCTTCCATCTCTTGTAGATATTTCGAAAAACTCTGTAGAATTCATTGTGACATTGGACATCCTGGAATAGTACGGATGGTTCCCTTACTCTATTGAAGATGTCAGGCGAATGACCGCTTCATGCTCTGTTTGTGCGGAAGTGAAACCTCGGTTCTACCAAAAAACCCCATCAACACTCATCCATGCAATGGCTCCTTTCGAGAGACTTAATATTGATTTTAAGGGGCCAATACCATCTGTGACAAGGAATAAATATATACTGACGGTTGTTGATGAGTTTTCAAGATATCCGTTTGCTATTCCTTGCTCAGACACATCAGCATCTTCTGTCATCAAAGCACTTACATCAATCTTCACCATCTTTGGTATGCCTGCTTTTGTCCACTCCGACCAAGGTTCTGCTTTCATGTCAAAAGAATTGAGTAATTTCTTACACTCTAAATGAATCGCCGCTAGCCGATCTTCACCTTATAACCCTCGAGGTAATTCTCAAGCTGAGCGATATAATGGAACGATTTGGAAGACTGTATCTCTTGTTCTGAGAAACAAGGGACTGAAGACAGAACAGTGGGAGTATGTTTTGCCAGAAGCTTTGCATTGTATACGCTCGTTACTATATACAGCTACGAATGAGACCCCACATGAACGTCTTTTCAAACACCAGAGACGATCATTTTATGGCACCTCTCAACCTCAATGGCTCATGAATCCAGGACCAGTATTAGTGAGAAGGCATGTAAGAAATAACAAATATGAACCTTTAGTGGAACAAGCTCAGCTGATAGAGGCTAATCCAGACTATGCTCGCATCAAGTATAGAGATGGTAGAGAGGCTCTGGTATCGGTGCGACATCTCGCTTTTCCCCCTGAAGCTATCCAACAAGAGGATGAGCCAGTGACTTCGGAAAATCCCAGTCAAGAACTAGATCCTGTTCTTCAAGACCTGAGACGTGAATCAAACCTGCTTCAACCTGAAATTGGGAACTCTATTCAATCTGAAATCGAAACATCCCCTCTGCATGAGACCGTGACCCCTACTTCTGTGAGGGATAACGAAGAAACAAACCTGCGTCGTTCCACTAGAGTCCGAAGACCTCCCACCTATCTAAGAGATTACATTTAAAAAAAAGATGGGGTGAATGTTATGTAATATGATTCCTATTGTACTGTCAAATATTTCTTCAGCTGTTTTATTTAAGACTGTTTTGTTTATGTATGTAATGTTTACAGTTTTGTGCAATTCTCTCATGTAAAATGTAGCTGACTATTAAGTTTAATAAAACCATATAAATTTGGTTTCTAAACATTTCTTTTCATAACAGTTACCTGATCCAAATTCGGTTAACAGGGGTTCTACTGTATGGATAAAATGGTGCTGAATTTGTTTATCTAATTTTTGACTCTTTAACCCAAAATTGGCCAATGTCTTCTAAATTCATTAAGTTATGTAGGGCTTAAAAACAAACAATTTAGTGGCCTATATTGATGATTTTTTCACACTTAAATCAAAGGTTATAAAAAATGCCATTAAGTGTGTGAGTCTGTGTATTTTAGCTTGAGTTAAAATCATCCATTTTTTTTTTATTTGGAACAAGGGTGCAAGACTAATTCATTTTTAAAGAGTTCACAAACAAGCACATGATTACTGTAATAAATGAGTTACCGGCACTAAGCCGTTATTAGTTCACTTAAATAAACTGTAGTTACAAAAACTTTAATTTACCCATTTTTGCTGTGAAACACAAATTTTCTGTTGACGAATAGGCATAAACTCAGCCATGTTCAACAAAAACTGTGGATTGAGCAGACAGGTATGATGCTTAGTAAATGCTAGGAAAAGGTCTAGCATGCCCCAGACCAGGCTTGAAAATATCGAAGCATATGCTACAGAACAACAGTGGCGGCGATATCGTTATGGTGCAGGGGGGCCCGCGAGCTAGGGGGGCCCATGAGCCTTGACCGGGATTTTCGGTAAATTTTACTGGCACACGGGCACGCGATAGTGTGACAGGCTCAGCCACACTGGTCCCCTATCATAACAATATTTAGGCCTATATGAGAATTAAAATACTTTTTTTATGAAAATTTGTTCAAACCTATATAGTTCAAGTAGTTTACAACAGCTAAACTAACAATATTACTTGACCTATCGATATAAATTATCTACCAACCTAAGTAAAATAATTGTCATCAGTCATTCGGGTTGCATTAACTGTCCTTGTGGATTGTGTGAAGGCGCATTCAAAATTGGTTGCATAATAATAGGGCCGTATTTATAACCAATGTGGCCTCTGGCCTAGGAAGATAAAACATTAATGTTAATCCTCCTAGGGCCAGCGGGTGACACCATAGAGGATCCTCTGTGCTGATTCGACTAAATAAACGTGACAATTTTGTTACGACCAAATTAACCTAGGTGGCTAGGGCACTACCTAATAAATAATTCCATTCTTTCATTGATGCTAAAGAAGGATTTCCATTTCATTGCATGTCTTACTAGGCTGCTCTTTAGATTTGTTTACTTCGCACTTTTGATGTGTTTACATCGAGTCAGGTAAAAAAAATTACTTACCTAAGGGCCTCAGGCCAAATCAGATCGGTTCAAAATCGGGTTTCTTTTGAAACGGTTGATTTTATAATAGGCCTATAATGTCGATTTTCGAGCCGAGCAGAGCCTGGACTACAAGCTTGAGAGATCAAGCACAAAGTCAGAAAATCAAGCTCGAGCCGATTTTCTCAGTATTCAAAACATTAATGCACAATTAAAAGTAAAAGCTCTTATATCCGTGAGGATCACGCTCACGAAATTGAAAGTTTAGGCCTACGCTTTTGCCGGGATCACGGATATCGACGAGAACATTTCCTCGTGGGTGACGATGACGATGTCTCCGCGGCTGCAGATGTTCAATATTTTGCCGCGATTGCGGAAGACGATAATGACGTTTCTTTTTTAACAAGAGATACCTAAATCTAGGATTTAGCCGCGATTACGGAAAAATGATTTACCCGTCACCGCCGACGGATCGAGGGGAGATTAGACCAGGCCGTGATATTAGATTTGGCCGTGAACGCGGGAGACGATGATACTGCTATCTAATGATGTCATAGGTTTGGTTGCATTAGCAATCACGGTAAACTATGATAATTTGTTTCTTCCATGACTTATGACTACGGGAAGTATTTACGATTTTGCCGCGATCATGGAAGACGATAATGACGCCTCGGGAGATGCCTTGTCAAGTTTATTGCCAAATTGAAAGTTTAGGCGGTAATACATGGGAACATTTTTTTAAAGATCATTGGGTGAGGGGGCCCGGCGAACAAACTTGCGGGGGGGCCCGCAGGTTCTTATCGCCGCCACTGCAGAACAATCTACTTCAAAAGTTTTATTCACACCCTTTTTTTAATTAACTTATTTACTACTCGTCCGGGAAAACTCTAGAACTTACTAGGCCTACCCCTAGCAAGTGCTAGTGTGTTTATTCACACAAAATTTAGCATTTACTTAAGAAATCCCTAGTTTTTGCTTATACTAGTTTTTATTCACACCACTCATTAACTACGGTGTCACATGAAAAATATTATAAGTTATATCGGCCTTTAAATAATGATATATTCATTATCGATACACTAACCCACATACCAAATTTCATCAAAATCGACAATGTAACTTAGTCTTTAGCACACATTCACACAGTAGGCCTACACACACACATAGGCCCTACATATAACTCACACACAGACAGACACACATCACTTCGGATTCGAAAATCACTTTTTCGGTTCAGGGGGATCCCAAACAGATATATCCACCCAAAACTCAAACATTTTGATGAAAATTGAAAACAATACTCAAATACTGACTAACTTCACAAACTTAGATAACAATACAGTAATGTATAAGGGGAGAAAGTAAACATCTTTATATAATTCTAACCTAAATTTAATAAATAAAACCATTAATTTTGAGTGGTCACAGTAGGCCTAGTTGTACAATGGATACAAGAAATGGAGAAACAAAGGAGTTTAGCCTAGTTCATTAACTTCAAACTACAACAATACCCACAATATTAATTATTAAAAAATGGAACTTCTTTAAGGCTACTTTTAAAAAATGTGTCAGCGGGTTGAGTTGAGGTAACTGTACTATGATAAACACGACATCCCCTAATATAATTTAAAAAATAATTATAACAGTTAAAACCTGTGATTATCGTGGATAACGCTTCTGAACAATTATTCACAGAACTAATTTGATTTTGACATATGGATATGACTTGAGTTGAGATAAAGAGGGTAATAGAATAGCTTATCTATAACCTTAACCTATAACCTTCTTGTCAGTTGTCGTTTCGTTAGTCGTTGTCAGTTGTCGTTGTCAGTCAAGTCAATTCCAAAAATTTAACTGAGTTTCAGTGGAGTGCGAGTGTTTTTTTTTTTTTTTTTTTTTTTTTAGTGAGTGACTGTCATATGGCAAGTACCAACTGGACTGGACTGGACTGAGCCCTTCGGCTTCTAGCATAGATTAAAAGAAGTAGCCAACAGACATAAAAGTCTATACTCCTTTTATTAACCGACTTCCCCACTACCAACAAAAGGAGGAGGTTCTCAATATGTCTGTGGCGATGTTTTTTTTTTCTATGTATGTTCACCAATTTCTCTAAATTTCTTTTACCGATCAGCGTGGTTCCACCATCAAAATAACCAGGAGAGTTTCTATTTGGTACCTTATATAGCATTATGTTTAAGAAAAATATTTTTTTTTGTGAAAAATGCTGAAAACCTCAAATATTCAACATTTATTTGTTTACATTTTTTAAGAGAAGGCAATTAATAATAATAACATTTCTACAGCTGTTAGTTAAAACCATTTAATTTTTTTTATCAGAATTTATTTTACAATCTGTTCAAATATGAGAAAAATAAGTAAAACATATATATAAAAAAACAATGTCAGGAAGCAAGCACCTGTTCATCAACAAGTCTTGCCAAAAATTGGATCAGTCATTTAAATGGGAACGCGCCAAGGCGCCACCACGTCAACCCGCCACCAAGTCAACCCACCATCAAAAAGAAGAAGAAGTTTGAGGTGGCGGGTTGACGTGGTGGCTCGTTGTCGGGGTGACACGTTGACTCTAGCGTGCACGACAACCCGCCACCTCGGAAAAATGTGTGGTGGCGGGTTGTCGTGGTGGCACGTTGTCCTAGTGGTGCTTAGACATGTTCATACACGTCAACCAGCCACCTCTTTAGTGTGGTGGCGGGTTGACGTGGTGGCGGGTTGACGTGGTGGCTGGTTGACGTCTACGTGCGAGGTGGCGGGTTGACGACACCGAACATTGAGCGTACACGACAACCCGCCACCTCATAAAATAGTGATGGTGGGTTGACGTGGCGGCACGTTGTCGCTTACATGCGAGGTGGCGGGTTGACGAGAGTTAACATGGGGCGTACACGACAACCCGCCATCTTTGTTGGCAAAAGCCGCTGTTGTCTGTGTATTATAAAATGCATCACTTTTTGCAGTTTACCTGGACTTGTGTCATCTAGTTTACTGGTTAACTAGACATTAGTTATTGTGAATTCATTAATTTTCTAATCGTTTTCCTAAAACGATCTGTAATCTGATGTGAGATGTGATCTGTGATCCTGGTTTTTTTTTCTATGATCTGTCATAGAAATAGAGTACACGCGCATCCACACAAGACAATTTTTCCTTTTAATCAACAGTTATTGTTTGAAAACAATTTTGTAAGATAAACTCACTACAAATTAACGACTTAGGGTCATTCTAAAATTAAAATAACAATATTTGTTATGTTTTCGCATATTTTTATTGAAGACAAAAACATGAAACTTTAATAATTTTGAAAAATAAGTTATTAGTTTCTTAGGATTTTTTGTAGGTGTATACCTGGTATAATACCCATACTTATTTTCTTTTTCAGCATTATGACAATGAATTACAAAATAAGTTACCTAACAACTTCATAAATTAATTGTAATTCACGTGTATATAGCCTAAACAATAATTATGAAAATTTATTGTTCGGTTATAATTTCTCTTAAAACCGTATTGTGGTGAAAATAATAATACATTCAACCAAAAACATAAAACAAAAATACATCGTTGATACAGAGTACAACAGACTAAAATGTACTTTGTGTGGACTAGCGCGCACCTGTTTTTCTATTTAGAAGAATTTGAGAAAGGATACAGAACTAGACTCGACCCAACCGGTAACGTACTTCGACCTCTTGAGTCAAGGGTATTGCCCAGAGAAGTTCATACCAGACAGATATATTCCAAATATCTCATTAGGAGATATCTTAAACCAAGATTTCTATTGAATTTATCATGCTCAATAACTTGGCATAATAAGGGTTGGCAGAACTGATCTGCCTGAGAAGAGTATACGTGAATTCGCTGCCGGTTAATCTGTGATTAAATCGTATTAGTAGGCTCTGTTTGAGGAATCTGTTGTTGTACAGTGGTATTTTATTGTTTTTTGATGTGTTTGAACACTTGAAACGGACCCTGTAAGTAGTTGAATGTTACAAACAGTGTCAATAACCCTACGATAGGCCTGCCAGCGAGAACTGTGAATACGACTGCGCATTCAAACCCGCGCATGTCCATCTGTTGCTGTCCCTGTACTACCAACGTGACAGCACCAAATAACACTACCCGCTCGGCCACTACTATCCGGCTGCGCTGCCCCGGCCCGAGATGCAACCATCAGAGCATGCACGTGTGGCTGTCTGCCGCTTGTAATCTGCAGGAACTTGGTGAAGTCTGTTAGTCGTCCAGCGATTGTCTTGCTTCCCTGCGTCTCGGAGGACATCTGCGGCCAGGCTCCTGAGTCTGTTTACCAACCTCGAGATCTCACTCCACTCTGTTATTTTTTTGCTTATTCGACATTGATTTGTTGTTATGTGACTAATACAAACTTTTAATTAAAGTATTGTTGCTTACTTAATTTGTTGATGTTGTGTATAAAAATGAGTTTCATAGAAAATAGTTTGTTTTTGAACTTAAATTTAGACAGTAAGTCTGAGAATGCTTTAATATCTATAGCTTCAGAGCTCAATTCAATGGTTGTAAATTATCCTGAAGCTAATTGTCATGTTTTAGTTGATGGCATTACACATCTTGTACACACAATGGACAGGGTTACGATAGAAAATAATGACCTTAAGTCAACAAACGATGAGCTGAAGTTTGAAATCTCCCAGTTAAATGATTTTTTAAATAACTTCAAAAAGGACAAGCGTGCGGAGCTAAATAGGTCATTTCAACTTCAGGACACAGTAATTGAGGCCAATGAGGCAATGAGTAAGGACTTAGAGTCATGCAAAATAAGTATTAAAAAGCTACAATCCGCTCTGGATGAAATCAAGGATGAAAACAATTCTTTGAAAGAAGCTCTATCTAATAGTAAAAACAGAACCACGTTTATTGCAAATGATAATGACAAAATTAAAAACATCACCAGCAAAATGAACGATGCTTTAAAAGCTAAAAAAGATCAAACGTTAAAACTTGAAGAACTTGAAAAGTTGGTCAAGCGGCAAAAAACTATGATCGCCGATAAATGGTTGGATGACACAGTCATACAATCATATTTTCAGTCTCTCAATGAATGTAGCAATGCAGTTACCTCTCGAGCGCTGTTTGTTAGTCCCGCGGTTGGTGAACTTTTAAAGCATGGTTCAGATGATGTTGTTAAAAGCCAATTAACGTCTTTGAATTTCGATTCATATAAGTATGCCTTCTTCTGTGTTAACAACAATGAAAGTCTAACACTTAATACCACCACTCCTGAGTCTGAGGTTGTGGGCAATGGCACACACTGGAGTCTATTGTTTGTAAATGTTGCTAGCAAAGAAGCATTCCATCTTGACACCCTAGACGATTTTAATCTGCAACATGCATTACGTTTAACTGATAATTTAAAAATCAGCAGAGACCGATTTAAATCTGTACTGTGCCAAAGACAAAACAACAGTTTTGAGTGTGGTCTCAATGTAGTTGTAAATGCAAAAATTGTTCTAAATTGCTACTGTTCCAAGAAAAACAGTAGTAGGATAAGCTTCTGTGATTGGTACAAGGATTTTTCTATCACTGAAGGTTGTAATGGTCTCTTATCTGTAACCAATGACCCAGTCAGCCAGTCTGTTCACCAAAAAACTAAAACTCATTCTCCTTTAGTAGTAAGGCGAAGTAATAGTGGCTCTTGGGAAATTGTAAAGCGACAGAAAACCTCATCTCCTGTCCACAGCATCCCTCTTACACCTCCTGCTGATACAATTGTAACACACAACCGCTTCTCACCGTTGTCAACCTTGACTCCTGGAACTCCTGAATCTACCTCTGACAACCCTCTCGTGACTCCAGCAGTCACAAATAAACCTCTCAAGCGCAATAGTCCCACAAAACCTACCCCTCCACTAAGTCGCAGGTATAAACAGGCTGAAGTTTTAATTAATGGCCCAACAATAAAAGTGTTTAGTGACAGCCATGGTCGTTCTTTGTCATCCATCTTGAGAGGGGAACTAAAAAATCAGTGTAATGTTGTGGGTTATGTAAAACCGGGAGCAGAGATGAAACAGGTACTAGAAAATGTAGTAGACTGTACCAAAAGTATGGTGAGCGAAGGCCATGTAGTCATAATGGGGGGCACCAACAATGTCGATGTAAACGGGCTCTGTACCGAGTTTGTTGACGACTTGGCTCACATTTTGAAAACGCTGTCAACACGTAAAGTATTGGTAGTTGCTCTCCCTCAGAGACACGATCAACCAAATTTGAATGATACAGTCAAGAAAATCAATTTCAGGCTTCAGTCTCTAGCTTTATCCCAAGAAAACGTGAGCTATGTTCTACTTGACTCCCTATCCCACCATCACTTTACCCAGCATGGTCTTCACCTTAACCGGAGGGGTAAAATAGCCCTGGCAAACCTCATCATCTCCTATATCAATAACCCCTCCCCAAAATCCAGCATATACCCACCATCAATGCCCACCATAGATACTGAGATCCAATCCGAAAACACTACATCACATACACGATCTACATCCAGCACAAAATCTACATCACATACACGATCTACATGCAGCACAAAATCTACATCACATACACAATCTACATGCAGTACAAAACCTACATCATTATCAACAATCCGTAAAACAAAACCTACTACCCGTACCATCTTCAATAGTCATTTTTTAGGGGAGGCGCGCAGGCCGACGGGCGTTCCTTGGGGCCAGTTTCTCAAAGGAGTACTGGAGGCCGAGTTTAGGAAAGATGGGGACAAGGAAAGTTAGGGACACGGAA